AAGATCCAATGTACAGCATGATGACTAGAATGAACACTACCACACTGCGTAGTAGATCCTTAACATTCTCACCACAATAAATGCTTAACCAAATATGTAATTGTTTTCTTAAAAAATATAAAATTTCTCAAACCTCTCAAACTTTAAAAATTACCTCTGTAGTTTAAAATAATTAAAATATTCAAAAAACAAAAACTAAGTCTAAAACTAAACAATGAATATGAACAGAGGAGGTAGCCATGTCTAGGAAGGTGGGTAAGGACCAAGTGATGCCACCCCTGTCCTGTGTCTCTGCACCAGGAAACTCTTTCAGGGGCTGGCAAAGAAAATAATTACATGCAAGGAAAAATAGAGCTTTTTCAAATGGGAAGGGGAGGGAGGAAGAGAAGGAAGAGAGGGATAAGGGACAGAAAAGAAAAGAATTAAGATGTGTTATGCACATGCACCAACTCCTTTCATAAATGTAATCATTATGTAATGCAAACATGTGTTAGAAAGACAGAAAGAGAGAGAGAGAAAAGAGAGGAAGGAAAGAAGCAAAGAAGGAAGGGAGGGAGGAAGGAAGGAAGGAAGGAAGGAAGGAAAAGAGAGAAAGAAAGAAAGAGAGAGAGAGAAAGAGGAAGGAAGGAAGGGAAAAAGAAAGAAAGAAAGAAAGAAAGAAAGAAAGAAAGAAAGAAAGAAAGAAAGAAAAGAAAGAAAAAGAGAGAAAGAAAGAGGAAGGAAGGGAGAAAGAAAGAAAGAAAGAAAGAAAGAAAGAAAGAAAGAAAGAAAGAAAGAAAGAGAAAGAAAGAGAAAGAAAGAGGAAGGAAGGGAGAAAGAAAGAAAGAAAGAAAGAAAGAAAGAAAGAAAGAAAGAAAAAGAGAAAGAAAGAGGAAGGAAGGGAGAAAGAAAGAAAGAGAGAAAGAAAGAGGAAGGAAGGAAGGAAGGGAGAATGAAAGAAAGAAAGAAAGAAAGAAAGAAAGAAAGAAAGAAAGAAAGAAAGAGAAAAAAAGAAAGAGAAAGAGGAAGGAAGGAAGGAAGAAGGGAGGGAGGGAGGGAGGAAAGAGCCAGGCTAACATGTTTCCTCTCCATTCCCATAGGTTAAGAAGACAAAAACACATCTTTAGGAGCCCAGCAGTCTTGCCACATTTCTCTTTTTTTTTTTTTTTTTTTTTTTTTAATATCTTTGTCTTAGCCCCCAGAGAATCTCAAATTCTTTTTTATTTTATTGGTACTGGGAACTGAACTGAGGACCTTGCACTTGCCAGGCAGGCACTGTGCCCCTGAGCTATCTCTCCACCCCACATTTCTTAAGTAAATCTGTTCTTCCCAAGACCTTTTGTTCCTTCCCCAGCCTCATCAAAAGTCCACACTTTCTGTTTTTCTTGCGTTTTTTCGCTAATGACTCTGCCTCAGACATGATTAAGTGGCCTTAGTCAGATATAAACTTCTTTGTTTTGTTTTTGAGTCTACGCCATACCACCCTGAACGTGCCCCATCTCGTCTGTTTGTTTTGTTTTTAAGACAGGGTCTCGCTTTGTAGTTCAGGCTGGCCTTGAACTCACTGTGTTGTCCAGGCTGGCCTCAAACTCAAGGTGATCCTCCTGCCTCAGCTTCCAGAGCGCTGGGATCATAAGCATATGCCACCACGCCCAGCATGAACGCTCTCATTTTATCATCCCTAAATCCTTAAATGTTCCGGCATTGAAAACTACCTTTCGTTTGGCCCACTTGGTAAGAATAAAAGTGTGCACATTATTCAGTGTGTCACGAATTTCATCCCATCTCAACTTGCTGAAGATTTAGAATCTTTCAGTAACCCGAGCGCATGTGTGGTCCCTTGTTTTTTTCCTATGAATCATTTCCCTGGTGACATGCGCATTTCTTTGCCCTGCAACATCGCTGTCCCGTGACCTCCGTCGCCTCCTGCAAGGATCACGTTGTCCTTATGCTCGCTTTTGCAGCCAGACTTCTTACAGTTGCCTGCATCCGCCACCTGCCACTTCTGGTTACCCCATTCACACTTCGCATCATTCTACTCCGGCTGCTGCATTTCCTCACTCAAGTGTTTTTGCTGGTGATGACTGCTACCTAATTTAAGGATCATCTCATGAAAGCTTGACAGCTGTCCATGTAGCTGACTACCGTCGCTTCTTAAACCCATTTTAAGTTTTGCCAACTCCTCTGATGAGGCTGTCTCACTACCCTTTACTGACCTTTTCATCCTCCTAAAGTGTAAATGTTAGAATTCCCTGGGGTTCCGTTCTAGATTTTCTTTATTCTATGCATACTTTTCCCAGGTGATTTTATTAATGTCCTTGGCTTTGAATGCAATCTACAGGCCAAGAATTCTTAAAGTTGGAGTTTCTGCTCAAAACTTCCTTCTGAGATACATTTTTTTTTCTTTTTTGGTTCTGGGGATTGAACCCAGGTCCTTGCATATTCTAGGCAAGCACTCTACCTCTGAGTTACATGCCCCAGTCCGTGAAATCCATACTTTTATATCAGAAGTATTTTTGACTTAATTATTTTGACAGCTCAAAGAAACCTGAAACTTTTCCTGTTTAAAACCAAAACAGGAAGGTTTGCTGTACCTGACTCGATATAAAGTGGTAGCAGTCAGTTGAGTGAAGCACAAGCAAAAAAACATATATAGATACATAGATACATAGATATATCTATATCTATAGATATATAGATATAGATATATCTGTCTACAGTCCAGCAATAAGCTCATACATATAAGTCCAATTGACCTTTGATAAATATACCAAGGAAATTTAGTGATGAAAGAATCATCTTTTCAACAAATGTTGCTGGGGCAATGAAGCATTTATATTTTTTTAAAAAGATGAATTGTAATTCATACCTCACTTTAGATACAAAATATTAGCTCAAAATGATTTCTTGTCCTAAAATTATAAAACTTCTAGAACACATAGCAGAAAATGTTACCTAATATAGTCCAAGTTCTTTTTAGATAGGACAGAAAAGGCACAAACCATAAGAAAATTATTAACAAATTGAGTTTATCAAGGTGAAATGTTGCTCATTGAAGGAAACTGTTAGGAAATTTTAAAAAGCCAAGAAATGAATAAAAATATGTGCAAGCTATAAATGTGATAAACTCTAGTATACAGAATATGTCTCAACTCAATAATATGCAAGCAAGCAGCACTTTTCTTTTTTTAAAGAAGCAAATAATATGAGCAGATATTTCATCAGAGTGAATATACAGCTGGCAAGTAAATATGTGAAAACATACTCAACACCCTTAGTCATTAGGGGAATTCAAATTCAAACCACAATGAGGTTCCAGTACATTCTCAATAGGATAGCTAAAGAATATTTTTAAAATCTCACATTATCAAATTTTAGCAAGGATAAGGAGCAATAGGAATATTCACACAGTCCTGATAGAAATACAAAATGATATCACCATTTTGGAAAGTAGGATGGCCATTTCTTATAAATTTACCAAAGGGTCCATCATTTCATTTCTAAGCATTCACCCAAATAAAATGAAAATATGCCAGCATCAGAATCCACATGTAAAAGTTTCTATTAGTGTCCTTTCAAAATTGGCAAGAACCAGGCCTATTCTGAGCCCCTCTCTACTGGAAAGTGAATAAACTACATGCTGTATAGACCATGGATTGCTGCTCAGCGATTAAAAGTTCTGATTTAGTGGCCCATACAAGCATACGATGACTCTCACATATATTATGACAAGTGGAAGCCTATGCATTTCATTTAATTAATTTACCACATTGTGGAAAAAGTAAAAATTATAGAGACAGAAAAAAAGATCAGTGGTTGGCATCAGTGGGAGAGGGAGAGGAAATAAATACAAAGGACATCAAAGAACTTTTTAATACAATTATGGTGATAGTTTTCTGAAAATAATGTTTCTCAAAACAGTGAACTTTTCCATGAATCCTTCCGCATGTAAATTATACCTCTATTTACCCTTCAGAAAGCTAGTTTGACATTCACCCCAACATATATGTTTCTTCCTCAAGTTTCTCCATCTCAAAAACTAGCATTGCTGTCTGCCCATTTTCTGAAACTAGAGACTCTGGAATTTCCTTTTCCTTCACCCCACACCTACTTCTAATCCATCTCTAAATTCCTCTGCGCCACTTCTGAAATCTAGTGCAAAGCCATCTCCTAATCTTCTTATTCCGGGTTGCCGCTGGCCCAAGCCAGCATCCCCTCTGAGGACATACTCGGTTGTTTCCCTGCTGATCTGCCTGCTTATGTTCTCACCCGTCAGTTCTATTCTCTGCATAATTCCAGAATGACCATTTCAAGTAAGAATTAAATCACACCATGTCTTACTGAAAACAATACAGTGTCTGCATTTTGGGATCCTGCACTTGGGCCTCCAGAAGGCCCTGTTATCCAACATAGCTAATGTCACCTCAGAGCTCACCCCTCTCCCATCGGTCCTCTGGCCCCTCTCACCGCATGCCACACTGCCCAGACTCAGGCCACTTACTTAAAACTCCAAGTCTTTAGCTCTCCTAATAAACACTTGGCTTGTGCTGATCCCTAGGTCTCCACCCCTCTTGCCCATAGCTCCTATCTGAAAGACTGGCTCTTGCTTATTCCTAAGGTCTCAGCTTACCCACCATATCCTTAGAGAAATCCTCACACATTTTATCACCATTCACTCCTGACCTTCTCTTTCATAGCTCCCCCATTGCACTTAGCCCCACTTTTTTTTGGTACCAGGATTTGAACTCAGGACCTTGCACTTGCCAGGCACTGAGCTTTATCCCTTGCTTCCCTCACTTTTAACTATATACAATATTTATGAATTAATGTTACTAATATTTTTATCCCCTACTGGACTGTATATTCTTTGAGAGAAAAACCTATTTCTTTTCTTTTTCACTTACCACATTACCTGAGGCATAGTAGAAGATGAATGAGTGTCACTCAGTAAATGAATAAACTAATGTATGTGCTAAAATGGAGCATAGGGATGCTGGTGTCAGTCACCCAGAAAGGCTTACCTCGCCACACCAACTGCTTGGCGCAGAGAATGGAGCTCGGAGTTGTACAGAAGTGCAGGGCGGTGTGTCCACTTAGGGAGTAGCAGTTGAGCTTAGCTCCACGGTCACACAGGACCTTCACGCAGTCCACGTTGGCCATTTCACACGCCACGTGAAGAGGGGTCTTCCCGTTGGGTCTGCAGTTGATTGTAGCATTGTGGTCCAGGAGCACCATAAGGCATTCCACGTGACCAAACAGGACCGACAGGTGCAAGCCTGTGGCCCAGGAAGACTTTAATTTATAACTAGGCAACCAATAACCTGAAGAAAGAAAGAAAGAAAGAAAGAAAGAAAGAAAGAAAGAAAGAAAGAAAGAAAGAAAGCACTGTTTCATTTTTTTGATTGAGAATTTCTCCTAGTTGGGGGAGAATTTTTACAAATTGAGGAAAAACTGACCCATGAGTTATAGACTAGTAGTGGATGGATCTGACAGTGTTTTGGTCAGTAACATATTTAGATGCCCTTTGGTGAGTTAGGCTTTCTAACTTTCTTCCTAACTTTCTTTGTAACCTCTTTCCCATCTTTCTTCCTTTGTCTGCCTCTCTCTTTCTTTCTCCTTCCTTTCTTCCTTCCTTCCTTCCTTCCTTCCTTCCTTCTTTCCTTCCTTCCTTCTTTCCTTCCTTCTTTCCTTTCTCCCCTCCTTCTTCCTTTCTCCCTTCCTTCCTGCCTTCCTTCATTTTCTCATTCTTCTTTCTTCATGGTCCTGGGGACTAAACCCAGAGCCTCACACATGCTAAGCAAGCTGTACAACTGAGCTCCATTTCCAGCTTCTTCTTTTTTTTTTTTTTTTTTTGAGGTAAGGTCATGCTAAGTTCCTCAAGTTGGCCTTGAACTGGTGATCTCCCTGCCTCAACCTCCCAAGTAGCTGGATTACAGGAATGTACCGACACAGCCTGCTTTTTTCCACGTTCTTGCTGTCTGTACTATCCCTATTATCTTGTTCCTTTATGTACTTTACTTTCTTGGGTCTCAAAGGGATTTCATTTTGAGACCTCCATTTGAGACCTTCATTTCTGTGGTTGTATTTTATTTTACATAATGAATTACATGAGGCTCTCCAGAAATTTTTAAAACCCTTAATCATTGAAAATTTGTCTTGAATAATGCCATGCTGTGAGTTTACAAGCTTATACTTTTTATTTCATTTTAATTATTTTTCCCTATTTTTCCAAAGTGTGAATGTTTCCAACTCTTTTAAAAAAATCTATCACACATTCCAAAATTTTATTTGCCTACCTGTTGATTTATATACTCTTTCCTTCTAAAACTCAATTAATACAAAACACTAATTTGTACATGTTATAAGATTTTTTAAAATGATCTGGAAAATATAGGCCAAGAAAAAAAGACAGAAAAGTAACAAGAGGTCAAGAGTACGACAGACACATAAAATACAAAGTACATTTTCTGTAATAGAACTGCACTGCAAATTGGCCTTTGAAATTCCTAGCAGCCAAAATAAACAGGAAAACTGGATGTGTTTTACACTTAGCTATTCCTGCAAGCTACACGCAAATCATTTGGCCAAGAGAAGAATAGTTGTTCCTAGAAATCTCAGATAAAATTTTATTAGCTTTCTCCTCTTTCCCATCCTGCTATCTCTGATCCCACTTTTTTATACACCAAGCTAGTGTTTCTTCTAGGCATGCACCAACAGGAAAAATTGACCCACGGGTTACAGCCTAGTAGTGGATGGATCTGCAACTGTCTTCAACTGTTGCCATATTTGACAAGCTATGACAATAGGGAGTGTATAAATCTAGGTAAGCATCTACAGCCACAGAATTTTAAACCCACTACGAGGAGGGAATGGAGCATGTGTAGAGAAAGATGTCCTACTCCTGATGGCAAGATGAAGCTGTGAGATAGCTTAACAGCCTTGTAGAGATTTGAAAGCTGAAATGACAAAATAAATTTTAACATGGATACCTCAACAGATAGCTTTTAGGCTATAAAAATATCACAAATAAAAAGTAATCAGAGTATGGTTTACTGGTCATTTATTTAAGGAAAAACCTAGGGATTTGAGTTGACAGTAATTTCAAAAACAATGGGACAGAGCTACCTAAAAAATTATACAATCTTAACCCACATTAATCAGAATTTGATGACCTGGAAAAGAGAAGCAAAAGTTGTATTTTTCACTAATTAACTGAGGCCAGAATAAATCTGAAATATTATGATTGTTTCAAGACACAAACTTTACAAGAAGTGATGAGCCAACCAGAGGCATTCTAAGGATGACAAGGGCCATACTAACGGTGAGCCCGGTGACCAGGTGACAAAATTCTCTCAATTAAGTACATATTTACCACTCCTTGGTATCCCTTCTACAACAAAATCATCCATGTGTGAAATACCTTACAGGACCACCGTACTACACAAGTCCAAGGAGCACCATTTGCATTGCACTGTGTGAGAGATAATCCTGGGAGTTATGAGCCTGGAACCCCAGCCTATACGTAAGACTGTGTGTATACTACAGCACTGTTCCTAATGGTTAGATGTTTGAACACATCCTCACAGTTCAATAGGAGTGATTAACTCAATCATACAGTACATTCATTCCACTGAATATTATGTAACCATTAAAAAGAATGGGGCAGTTGTATATAGACCGAAAGATGTATTATCGTATGTAATCATATGCAAATCTATTTTTAAATACCCTGAACAAGAACCTGTTTATAATGGTGGCCTCCAAGAAAAATCAAGGACTGGGGGATAAGGACACAGGTCCACTTGTTCCTGAGTGCCATTTTGGTGACTTCTAAATTTAGAAGCTGATACATGTGTTCAATTTTTTAAAAATTTTATAAAATTAAAATAGCATCCTTCATCCAAAGGGAAAAAAGAATTTAATTTAAAGAAGCCATTTACAGGGTCATACACAATGCTGATTAACCACACAGCATAAATCAACATAACTCACAGTTTACTTTTCCACAGTCCACCCTTGCACCTAACCCCCCCCCCACACACACACACAATCCCCTTTGCCTCTCCTTCAGAAGTCTAAGACTGTCATGCTTTCTTTCACTCCCACATCTGCCCTTACCCACATCCGCTCTTTCAAAAGAATTTCACTTATTTTATCCTAAGGCTTAATGGATTGAAGATTGTTTAAAGTGTGAACCCTCTCGGATTTATCTGAATTTATGCAGGAATCCGTGTTCAGCCATAAGACTTAAGTTCTAAGATAGTGATAGGAGATTTCAGACACTGAGAAGGATGAGCTTTGATGAGAAGGATTTTTCCCAGCAGACCCATGTGCCTAAGAGTCCATAGCATCAGAGACAGCCTGAGTTAGGAAGTGTCAAGTGTATGCTTCTAGTGTGTGTTCATGTGTGTAGACAGATGCGTGCACACACACACAACATAGGGGCACATGTACATACATACCTGTTTATAATTTCTATTTAGTTATGTACATTGACTATGTGCTGCAACCACAATTCTTAAGCTAAATTGTATGCAACCTGCTTTGATCATTGATCATGAATGAATCCTATTCATACCAATACATAGTCATTTTTAATACTCAAATTTCCTCAGAAAGCAACTTGCAAAAATAGGGGCTTTTTTTCTGTCTTGGAAAGAAGCTAGCTCCAGATATAATAACCAGGGTGTATCTTGCCTACTGATTAGCCTCAGAGTTTAAGCATCTCTGTGTTGCTACTGATCAGAAGCTCATGCCTGCTTCTGATGGGAAGAAAGATGGGAAGAAAAATGGGAAGAAAAATGATCTCCAAAAGGAAGTAGCAGAGCTGATTAAGAAAACATCGTTTTGATGTCAAATTAAAGAAACATGGAATGCCGGCACTGGAGGGAGAGTTATACATTCCCAGCCTTTCATTTTCCAGATGAGAAAACTGCCAGTTTTTCAGCCTGCCAGAGGCATAGGTTGCCTACCTCACCCAAGCTCATGGCCTCAGAATATCTGCAATTCAGAATTTCCATCTTTCTTTGTCTTTGTGGAGGCAGGATAGGTTTAGCTCCAAGCCTGCTTTACAAATTGCAAAGAAAAGAAAAAGATTCTGAATTCATCTGTAATCTGTCACGTTGCTGATAGAGACATGCATTTGCTTGTTGATTTTTTTTCTTTCTCCTGAGTTCCCAGTAGCTCCTAGAGAATTTATCTCGCCTGTTTATTGCATGAATCAGTCGTCCTTGTCTTCTCCAGTCAGTTTCATCTGTGTCTTCCATAATCATAACCATTAACTGGTAAATCAGGCTCACAGACCGTGAGGTCTTGGAATGGAACAACACCCACAATGGAATTGCACCTACAACTCACGTCTGCTAGATGGGAATTGTGTAACTAACTGAACAAGACACCTTTTCTGCTGCCTGCCCCTGCAGAGGTGACGGGGACATATGGCTATGGCCATGGGTTGGGGCACATTGGTGTTCATCTTAAAGGTCTCTTGTAGGACTTTAGTGTGAGCATGGGGACAGGAGCTCCTGGAAAATTTACCCCCAAGCTGAACAGAGAATCTGCTGCATTTAACAGAGAAAAGAGCGGTCCACAGCAAAGGGACCACCGACATAGAATCACTGCCTCAAACAGGGCTGGGTCTCTGTGTAGCACATGTGGAAATAAGTACACCTACCTCATAGAGGACCAGACCCTGGGGAAAGTAACCTTCAAATACCATAGACATGACTATACCTGTCAACATATTTGTGTGGATGCTGATACGCAAACTGATCAAAATCTGTCTCCCAAACTATAACCACCTTTGCCATAGTAAGCTAGAAATACTGTAAAGTGATCTGCCAGATTCCTTTTTTGACCCTCCCTGCCTCCGTAGATTTTCCCAGGGATTCAAAGCCTGGAATGTGGTTTATTCTGAGTGTTTGAGTTTAAAATGCTCCCTGTTCACCCACAGATCCCAGGCTGCCCTTTTCCTGTGAGCTCAGGCTGCACAGAAGAACAGGGGTAGAAAGCAGCAGGAGATGGTGCCCTTGGGGGCTGGGTAGGAGGATGAAGCCTCAGGTTCCCTCTACTGTAAACCATTCACTGTCCACCAGAAGTCTGAAGTCTGTGTATACTGATAGCTCCTTAGTGTGGGTGAAGGGCTCCACCAAAGAAACCAAGAGAGAGAGAGAGAGAGAGGTGCTTCCCCCTGTGCATAGACCCCCCCAGAGAACTTCCAAACACAAACTCACCTTTTTCCCTCCCCAGACCCTGCCAAATAATCGGCTTACATAATTTCCCCTCCATAACATCACAGATCCTCTGCACACAGGAGCTTAGA